TTTGACCTATACTCGGCACTCAGGGCCATTGAGCAGTGAGGGATCTTTTTCGTGCCAACTCCTCGGGACCTCGGTGTATACGGTCTCATCCGAAGGACCGGTCTCCACGTCCCACAGTGGGATTCGAACCCGCGCATAAGGATCAACTCCTTACTCCGCGACTCTAGAGCGTACGCTCTAACCACTGCGCCACGCGGGCGACAAATTACGCATTAAAGAAAGCTTGTGTTAACATAAATTCGTAAGAAAAATTGTGTTATTTTTACCAAATTGCCAAGTATGACAAGTTTATTGGTTGAATAATGAAGGAATTCGGGCTTGTATACCTCCAACATGGCGACCATCAGGAAATAAACCTTGCTAAAATCGTGTCTACGAAAACTATCCATACCTGAAAATAGAGGGAAAAGATGTTGGAAAGGAAAAACGGTCATACATGTATGTATCATTTCGCCGAACGAATATGTAATTTGTCCAAACAAATTTCTAATTTGTCCGAACAAATATCTAATTTGTACGAATGAATATCTAATTTGTCCGAACAAATATCTAAATCGTTCGAACAAATAAATATTTTTTTTATCTGGCCCTCCAACGGCGCCGTAGATTTCGTACAAGTGCTATTAATAGAAAATTTAAAAGCATGTTTCATCGATAACATGACACTGATTCTTCTATAATTGTTTCTATGAGAAAACCTTAATAATTTAATTTAAATTCAAAGGACCAATCTCATTCTAAAACAAAAATAATTGAATATATCAATGGGTGAACGATTTAATGACAAAGGAATTTAAGATTTACTGAGCTTCAAAGTTAGACTTTTAAGGATGAACACCTTAGCAGCACGAAGCGCATGCAGGTTTTAGAGCATTTCACTCTAGTGTGGAGGAGCAAGAGAATTGATCCTTACGTCACTGGTTCGAATTTCAACGCGGAATTCGAGACCGGTATAAGTCCCGTATCATGGTAGTCAGATGTTGGTACGAAATAAATCTTTTTCTGTTCTATGTCCTCAAGTGCCAAGTACAGATCTAAAGCATCCCTCAATAGGCAGCCAGTAGTGTTTAAGGGACATGAAGCAAGCAAGCAGCCAACCAACAAACTTTGGTATCGTGTATAGCTGACAATATTTCACTTTATAACTCATGAAATAATCTTCATTTTTTACGAATAGTAAAATAAAACGCATACTATTTAGTATGCCTATTATGTTTTTTTTTTTTTTTTTTTTTTTTTTTTGGTACTGCTGATATGCAAACCAAAATGCATGCACGTACCTAGTAGACTTGGAATTGAAATTACTCTATTCTATTGCATTTTCTTTAATTTGAAATTGTCAAACTTTGAGCTGCTTTCAGACAACGAACAAAATTTAAAACTTTTACTACAATCATCATGATATTTGCTTAAATCCGTTATCTCTTCATGCATAAAGCATCGCTTTTGAAAGGTGGGGAAGGGGCCTAGGACAGTAATTGGCAATTTACCTGAAATTTCTTTGACAAACTACATAGAGAGAAGAAATTCCTATTTAGGGGGTGGCTTAATTTCCAACTTCTTGAACGAGAGAATTGATTCTACTGAAACAAAAAGCGGGGGGAGGGGGGTTGGGCAACTGACCTTTCAAAGAATACTTTCATACTAATTAAATAAACGGTATAAGTTTAAGTTAGAGACCACCCCCTCTCCCGATATTATGTGCCTTAAGAATAAATAAATCTGATCATTTCCTCATCATTTCATAGACAGACTTACATGTTAAGACAAGTGACACCGGACCATATCAACTTAACATGTACTGACAACGGACATTTTGCTTATAAATGTCAAGTTTTCATATAGTATGCGTTCTGCAGAAGGCTGTAATATGTCTAATGAAATGAAAATAGAGCTACTTTTCAAACTACGGAATATTTAAGTGCTTTTTAAATAAATTGAAGACGAAATATATATATTTTTCACCGCACATTCATGCTTTTACACCATGGTATGTATTCGCCAATCAAAACTACTCGGAATATATTAAGGATAACAGAGACATTACTTTTTGTCATGAGTACTGAATGCGTATCTGTTTCCCAATACTTAATTGTATTCCTGGAATTGAACAAAAACATGATTTTTTATGCATTCAGTAAAAATTCTTGTATATTTTGAATGACACCGGACGGACATTATCTTAACCTCACCTGTGAGGTCATGACAACGAACCAGTTTTAGTGCTTAACTTTAAAGGTCTCTGACAACGGTACTGTAAAGGAACTTAACGTGTTCCTGGCCGTGGTCTCAAACGCGCAGTGAGCTCTGTATGCCTATTTCTTTTTTTTTTCAGCATGTTAACTCCCACCCAATGTGCCATGGTATATCAAAACTTTTTAGCAAAGATTCACATTAACCTATCGACTGTGTCCGCACAATCCACCTTTGTCTCCAATCGAACACTGGACCGTAGAGTAAGAAGGCGTCGGAATATCCCAGCTCCTCTTGACCAGCTAAGGGCTACCTTGTTGGAAGAGGTGGATACTCCTATGAGAAAGATAAATGCACCGAAAACCTTCAAGCACAGGAGTATTAAGGCTGTGACCGATGCATAAGAGAGGCATAGGAGGTAATGACTACATTTTCGATTTCACTTGGGGGGGGGGGGGGGATTTCTCTTGAATTGTTCGTCAAAATCAGATGAGATTTTCATAACTTGTTGATCTCGTTCACATAATTTACCCTACCAAATTAACAAAAAACAAAAAAAAAAACAAAAAAAAAAAACAAAAAAAAAAAAAATTAATAAATAAACCCATTATATAACACCTCTATAAATTTTAGTAAGAAACAAATTCAGCTCCCTCTCATCGAGGCATTACATTTAGTTGTTCTTTTACTTTTTACATTGATTTGGATGCAATATTTTTATACAACATGTAATAGTCACAGTTTATTATCGACCGCAGAGCGGCCGATCTATTTGTGGTTGTGTTAGAATGTGCGCATGGGGAAATGAGAATTTATTTTTCGATTGTTTCGATGGATAAATTCCTTATTGATATATATATATATATATATATATATATATATATATAAAATTGATAAAAGTTTTAGGAACTTGCTAAGTGTTATGGGTTGTTATTACCCGATATGTTTCAATTTGTTTTTCATTTCTTATCGGATGTTTATTGATTTTATGAAGAATTTATACAAGAACTTCTCCTCAACATGGACGTGTGTAAGATATGAAAACAGAACTAATTGGGTTTCCGGATATTAGTTACAGTGCCTAAAATAAAAAAAAAGTTTAACAAGTGAATTTTGTCTTGAATACACTATAGCAAATGACACAATGATATTTTTTCCGCACTTCACAATTACTGTGGTGCAAATCTTAACACTGATTGGCATTATCAGGTATCAAATACTTTTTCTATTTTGAATTTGTTTAATTTCGACCCTGTCTTGTGGAAATACTTTTAAATGCTAAGTATATACTTTTGCGGCCGATTTGTATGGCATGTCAAACGTTGCAATATTCGATCTTTTCCATTTGTATTGTATAATTTCTTATTTGTATTGTAAAATTTCTTATTTGTATTATCGCATACAAATAAAATTTATACAATACAAATGGAAAAGATCGAATATTGCAACGTTTGACATGCCATAGATTTGATGCTTTGCATCAATAAAACTTGTTATGTTTAAGGTAATGACGTAGTGTTGCAACACCATCTCACGATTCACGAATGAGCTTTTTAAGGGAGAGTGTTTTAAAGTCTGACTTTATGAGTTTTATAAGCATGCAAATAATGATAATAAGTTTGTTATAGTAGCACTTAATAATTATCGGATCGGGTGCAATGCTTTGCTATGGCAATGCAAACCCCAAATATCTGTCCGATCAAAAAAAAAAAAAAAAAAAAAAGAAGGTGCACAATGGCACTATGTAATATATATTCAATGAAATTCTCATTAAATTTTATTGAGTGGTATAGGAGGAATTGCGAAAGAGAAATGGGTAGCTCCCACCGTGTGTTATAGAAAGAATGACAGTGTCCATGTTTTGCTATGGTAAACCCCAATGGCACCATGTAATAAAGATTCCGTGAAAGTTTATTAAATTTTATTGAGTGGTATAGGAGGAGTTCCGGATATGAAATGGGCAACCCCCCCCCCCCAGTGTTGCGAAAGGACGGACACCCCCATCACTATACATCCTCCGCTTTTCAAGGGGTGGGGGGGGGGTTATAACGCACTGATTAGACAGAAAGAGCTTTCAAATATTCCTGTAATGTACATGCCAACGACACCATGTTTTTGTGGGGTTTGTTTGTTTTTTTTTGTTTTATAAAAGACTGAGCTTTACTCATATACAGTATTCATAAAACTAAAGTCATAAAACAGTCAGGAGAATTATATATGATTTACCCTGCTTTGCTCTTTAAACAGTAGCAATGTTTACTCGCTCTTCGGGTAAAAAGAATCATGCCAAAATAATTGTATAACAATTGTTTTATATTTAAATTCAGGCTTCATTGCTTTATGAATTAAATTAAATATCCAAAAATTAGAACTGTATCACCTACTCTGTTCCACAAAAACCAAATATTTATGATTCACATAAAAACGGACAAATATCTATGATACACATAACTAAGTATTCTCTCAGTAGTAAAAATTTATTTGCACTATTTTTCGCGTAAGAAAAACTTGGACAATAGTGTTTTGAAAAAATTGTTCTCAAACTATAGTAGGCCGCAGTTGCATCGCAATTTCTTTGATTTGAAAAACGGGTCCTTTTTAATTTTTGTGCAAGATAAGTGGTAGAGTTGCCAAAATAGAAATTGAGCCTACCACTATAGACATTCCCCATCAAATAATATACAAAACTTGACTCCTTTAGTGTACCAAATGATTGGGAGTACTTATGCATGTTGCCTCGCAAAATATTGAAACAATGTTTTTTTAGGATTCAGTTGCATTTATTAACAATAGTAACATAAGTGCTTTAAAAGTAAACATTCTCCAAATCTGAAATAAAACTCACGCCTAACGAAATGTTTGTATTACTCTAACGCCTGCGTCCTTGAAGAAAGGCAAATGGGTCCTGATCGGGACTTGGTGCAGACAGGTAGTTGGCGTCACTGACCTTGTATCCCGTGAATGTGGCATATATTTCATCCTGCCGCCCAAACAGCGAAAATTCTTGTCCTTGTCGAGCTTTCACATAAACAGTGTCTCCGCGATTTAGGTGCACGAGTACTGTATTTCCGGCGGTAGAATGGCTGTCGTACCCGGATATTGACACAAGCAGCTCATTATTTTTCTTCAGTTCTAACCACATAGCTTTGTCCTGGTAAAAATTAAAAATTCACTAATTAGACATCAGAATTAGTTTCATTTAATATTAGTCCCTGCATCTTGAAATAACAATTAGCATCTTCATCTTAAGTCCAAAGTGATGTCAACGCCATATAAAGACATTCCAATAGGACAATAATGAACTTGATCCTAGAATTTATACTATGGCACCATTATGAGAAAGTAAACGTGAAGTAAAGAAACAAATCTAGTGCGAAAAGCGCTAAAATAAAATTACTATTATACCGCTATTATGTATATACAGTAGAGTATGCTTATAGCGAACACGCTTATAATGAATTGACGCTTACAGCAAAGTGATTTTCATTCTCCTTGGCATTATGAACTTAACGGATATAACGAATTAACGCTTATAACGAAGCAAATTTGTCCGCCCCTGACACTTTTTTATAAGCATGTTTTGTATTTTTTAGCTGTGCGTCCATACTTCTATATATGCCGAAAAGTTGATCGACCTCCAAAAATTATTACTTATCACTAACTTTTCTATTTCTTTTTTTTTTTTTTTATACAAAAGAACACCTTAAGAGTACTGAAGTAAGTGAATCGTTGTCTCGTTTGATGAATTATGTGACCCCTCACCTTATTCATATCATAGGCGTGAAGATGAAACACGTACATTCCGCTGTGGGGACACTTAAATATCCCCGTGTGATCTGAGTAAGCACTTCCCAGGTTTGAGAATACCTTGTTGAACAACACCGTCTCGGCGTTCATGATGTGCATGGTTTGAGAGAGTCCCACCGAGAATGCTACCGCGCCATGACCACGGTCACTTAACGAGGATCCTGCGGGCCCATCTTGTGCTGTCAAGGGAGAAGTACATGTACACATGGGTGACCAATTTAGCAACAAGTATGATGCAGTTAGCAGAATTCAACTGCTATTCGTATTTGTATATTAAAGCACTTGCAAAAATGTTTATCATTAATCTCATGACATTTACATTTATTGATTAACCTATAAATTAAGTGAGAAAGAAAAATCTCAGACTTCTTTTCCAACTATCATGTTGTAAATTTTGAATTTACTAGAAATTCAAAATTAACAACATGATACTACCACACGTCATCGACTCTCATGAAAACATAATATACATGTATTATTACACTAAGGATATTTTTCTTTCATCAAGAGTAAAATTTATATTTCATCGCAGCCTTTGATGTAAGAAATAATCCCATCTTTTTAAATGAAGGGTTGACAGGGCATTTTTTAACAATAAGGGTTTAAAGAATTTTTTTTTCAAAACCGTTATAACTTTGTTGTCAAAAATTTTTGGTAAACATTTTTTTCCCCTATTTTTCGAACCTTGTAAAACAAATGTGCTCGTATCATAACTACAAATTTTTCTACTAGGAAATACGAAAAACAAACAAACAAATCAATTATTAAAAAGTATAAAATTTGTTTTTAAAAAAAATAATTAAATTGCATTGTTTGGCAGATTTAATCTTGAATTAAGTACTTTATTTAATCTTGGCTTTTTTCTCCACTATAAGAGTATAATCTAATCAAACTGGAGAAAAGATAATTAGGTCTACTGTGGATGTCTCGCAAAATTATATAAACCATAAATTAATAAATATAGATTACCATATATCGTTGAAATAAATGCAAGGCTTAGAAATGCGAATACTTTCCACATATTTGCAGTTTTGATCTGAAAGACAAACAAATTTCATATATTTGCGTGGTATATATATGAAAAGAAAAGAAAAAAAAAATCATATCATATAAGGAAAAATGATTTTGACGTTGGTTAAAATTCAGAATGTATATGTATACATTGCATGAAAAACAGGACTGAAAAGTTCAAAAGTAATTAAACCAAATGTATTATTTTTATTTTACAAATGACAAGATTTAATTTTTAAAAAACTCTACATAGATTTATACAAAATAAACAAATTTATACATTTATTTGTAATGTGAAAAATATACTGACTTACTGGTATTTTGAAAAGGAAATAAAAATAACAATTACACCAACCAATTAAGTACAAAATACACCGATCATTTTGGTACAATATTTCAATAGTGATTATCAGAACAGGATTAACAGAATTACTGACAAGATTAAGTTAAGTTCCATTTTTTTAAGTATCTTTTGTAAATCTTTATCTGATGTCATATTTGACAAAAAATTGACAGTTTCCTTACCCCGCTGTTGTTCTTGCTTGCTCTGTGGTTCTAAGCAAACCCTTGGCGGGCTATATATATAACAACAGCGGTCATTTTTTATTCTGAAGTGGGTGTATATCTTTGAATTCCTTTGTTTCGTTGACAACATGAAAACATCTCAATATGAAATGAAAACTCTAAGGTTCATAATCTGTTATCTTACAATAACCAAATTAATTTTTGGGAATCTATTTGCATAGGATTTATTAAATCTGATGTTTTGACATATTTGGTGATTGAGATTTTGATTTGAATAGTTAGATATGTCAAGAGTTAAGTTTAAGAGTGAAGAATTACAGAAATCAAAATATCACAGATCCATTTAAGATAAACAAACAATTTGAAAACTTGTTTAAAAGTTCTTAAAAATTGAGTTATTGCCATTTCCAAATATTAATGACGCAAGACTCCCTTGTTTCTATGGCTTTTTGTTCTACGTTCCAACAACAACAATTTAATCGTTTTTGTGCAAGACACATACCGGCTTTCAAAAGAAATTCTACAGGTTTTAGCAGAGTATTTTAGGGTTTTGAAAAAATGTAAGTGCTTTTGATGAATAAGCCCATCCCTTCCACCCCCGACAAGTTTGCATGTTTCGCAGCAGGATACCCGTATCTTCGTTCTTGCAGTACAATTAAGCGTTCACCTGATGATAAATGTTCTGCTTTCTTCGTGCCCTATCTCACCATTGTGGCAGAGGACTCCATTTCATATTATTTTACGGGGATCATTTGAATTTCTTTCTGGACTGTGTGGCTTTTATTTAACAACAAGAACATGTCTACAAAAATGGTTCTTAAAATTTTTCAAATGGTTATCATTAAACTAAAACTTTTAAAAACGGCAGAAAAAAAAGATTGCAAGCTTTACTTCCGAGTAAGAAAGACAGTATATACAAACCAAAATTCAGCTCTAAGAGATCTATGATTTTATCAAAGTTGAATTTACAAATCATTGGGATGCCTCAACATGATCCTGCTGTTATGGAGATTTTTTCCCTGTACATATGCATTATGTAAACTTTGGATTTCCAAATCGGTTCAACCCTTACCCAGGGCTCATAATTTAAAAAGATATAATTCCACAAAACTCAGGTATGATTTTCGCTCATTAATATAATATGGTGTGGCCTTGTCACTCTTGAAAAGATTTTTTTCCCTAAACACTCCCTTGTTGAATTCTGATCCCCTATCATAATAGTTTTAACCTACTCCGAGGTCCCTCATCTGAACAAACTTGAATCTAAACTATCTGATGATGCTTGCATATCAGTATGACTAATAATGACTTTGCTGTTCATGAGAGATAGAATTTCAAAGATTTTTCCTATATATTAATTCCCATTTAAAACTTTCATGTCCTGTTTTGGCCTGACCCTACCCGCGGGGGCCATGATTTGAAGAAACTTGAATCTCTACTTCCTGAAAATGTTTTTATGTAAATATGACTAAATCATGGCTTTAAATGCTGTTCTTGAAAAGAAATTCTTTCCTCTATATATTCCTATGTAAACCTGTAAACGCCTAATATGTCCAACCCTACCTTGATTTTAAGAAACGTGAATCTATACTACATGAGGATGCTTCCATATTAAAATGCTTTAACGTTTTCTAAGAAGACGATTTGTACATATTATTTTCCTTATATATTCCTATGTGAAACTTCGATCGTCAACTGTGGCCCCACCATACACCCGGGGGTCATAATTTGAACAAATTTGAATCTACACTATACCTGAGGATGCTTTCAAATCAATATGATTTATCTTGTCTTTGCTTTTTTTTTTGAGAAGAATAAGATTAAGATTTTTCCTACATATCCCTATGTAAAATTTTAATCGCATATTGTGGCCCTACTCTACAATGCCCCCCCCCCCCCCCGGGATTTTGCTTTATGCACTACCTGAGGATGTTTCCATATTAATAAGACTAGTCATCCCTTTGCTGTTTTGAGTAGCAGATTTGTATAGATATTTTCCCTGTATATTCCAATGTTAAACTTTTTAATTTCCTATTGTGACCCCGCTCTAATACCGTAATCGTGATTTGAATAGTCTGGTTCCCGCCCCCGCCACTCCGTTTTCACTTCCCAAAACGAAGTGAAAACGGAGTGGCGGGGGCGGGAACCAGACTATGATTTGAACAGATTTGAATCTACACTACTAGCTGCAGAACTGCAGCGTTACGGTTTACAGTTCTGCAGCTACTACACTATATGCGGATGCTTCCATATCAATTTGATTAATCATGGCTTTGCTATTCTTGAAAAGAAGAATTTTAAAGATTTCTTTCGTATATACTTCTTACGTAAAACTGTGTCGCCTGTTGTGGCTCCGCCCTACCCCCGGGGTCATTATTTGAACACTTGAATCAATATGTAATGTAGTTCCCACGTAAGTTTCATCTTCTCTGTCCTGTAGGTCTTGAGAAGAAGGTTTTTAAAAGATGATATTTAATTTTCACTAATTCTTAAATATCTCTCCTTGAAAGAGGACATGACCCTTCATTTGAACAAGCTTAAGGTAATCCATCCCTAATGGCCTCAGATTCATTGAATTTGAATACATAACAGATGTGTACGAGTGGAATACTCAGTATATTTAGACATAATTTCCAATTATTACTATTAGCATGTAAGAATGGAACGAGTCCTAATTTTTGACCTTATCCTTTGTTGAAGAGTTATCTCCCTCTTTTTTAAGTAATAAAAATCAATTTTAAAAAATCCATACGGTAAAAAAATGGTTTTCAATTGTCATTCTATTTCTAATGATTTAATGCATCTTTCCAACACAGTATTTATTGATATTCTTATTTTTTGAATTTCTATTTTAAAAAAATCGCTTTTCTCCATAGACTTCAAAGCAATTTCTGTTAATTTATTACTGCTTAGTTAATTACTTTTTTGAAATTTTCTCTTGGTAAATCCTTTTCTACTGTAAAATGCTTTGAATTAATATCAGAGTATTACATACGTGATAAATATTTAAGGATAGAGAATTAGGCCCTATTAGGGATGGAAAACCTTAAACCCTATGAACCAAAGGATGATTTGTGGCAAGTTTGGTTGAAATTGGCCCGGTGGTTCCAAGTAGATGAAAACGTGAAAAATTTACGACAACAACGACAATGCCAACAAAAATGACGACCCAAAATTGACAAATTTTGATCAGACTTCGCCTCATGTAATCTAAAAAAAAAAACCATTATTGTTTGTATTCTTAGAATTTTTTTAATTTTTTTTTTTTAAAATAAGGTCTTCATAGACCTAAACGCAATCTCCGTTGAGCAAATATTGCTTAGTTAATTATGTTTTTGAAAAATTCTCTTGGTAAATCTTTTTAAACTGTAAAATGTACAGATCAGATGGGTATATTTAAAGATAGAGAATTGTGTCCTATTAGGGGCCACACTGAATCATATTAATATGCAACACATTGATAAGTTGTGTGGATTCATTTTTTTAATTAGAGGTCCAAATCCTGCGTAATGCTTGTGGAAAGAAAAATTCTTGTTCGTCATATTCATATTGAAGCCTCAGAATGTTCTGTGAATTCAGGTTCGAATAAATCATAGCCTTAGGGCTAGGTTTGAGCCAAAATATTGAATTTTTCATGGAAATAAAGAGGGTGGAATGGGGGTCTATTATAAAATGATGAAGATCAGCAAGGTCAAGGGTGACTCAGGTAAGCTTTGTTGTCTATGGGCCTAAGCTCCCATCCCCACGTGAAATAGGATTTCTGAGTTAGGGGGATTTTCCCTTCTCTCTCTTGCTTGTCTATGTATTTTTTTCCAAATATGTTGTCAATTACCCCCCTCCCCCGACCACATTCAAAACTGTGCTACATGTCTGCACATCAGGAAGTAAACACATTACAAATAAGTTTTTTTTCTTTTGCCCACGGTGAAATTATGGATCAAACTTTATACAGAAATAGGTATGTATAGTTTACAGAAACGTAAGAGGATCAGGGGTCTAATATGGGGGTCTAATATTTTCTGTGGATCGTGCAATTTAACAATCTCTAATTGTTAGTGCCTATGAGTTAACCCATAAGAAATATGTATGAATACAACATGAATAAATTAAAATATTATTGGTTACCTTAGTTACTGGGTTATGATAATTTTACAACTTATTTTATCCATGTAGCAATACACCAATACTCCTACATCTGCATATGAAGTCTATGACTTCCAGTTGATTCAATATGCGAGAGCATGTTCTACGAATGATTTATTTCTAAAAACGAGACAGGCTAATGACAAATAAGTCGATGATGCAAGAATTTTAACAATCTCGTTTAAAGTCAACTTTTCGCAAATTCTATGGTCGATACGATGACCCTTCTTGCAAATACACAATCTTTGTTGATTATGTCGAATGTTGACTGACGTCTTTCATACCAATTGTTAGGTCATTATTTGCACACTGAATTGTGTACGGATATTTTCGTTTACTTGATCATGACAAGGTACACACGGCGGGTATGACCGGTCGACAGGGGATGTTCACTCCTCCATGGCACGTGATCCCACCTCTGATTCAGAGGCCCGTGTGTGCTCTGCACACAATTTGTATTGTTTAAATTGGACTTTTGAGCATGATTACTATTCGTTAACTTCAAATGTCAATATTATTTTACTGAAAAAGAACAAAGTATAATAAAGGTCATGTGAGACGGTATATTTTTTCGCCTTTTAAATATTAACAGTATGTACCTACCGCGACGACACATATATATTGTCATCCATTGGCACAGATACCGGCGACAATATGCCAAGCCCCCCCCCCCCCCTTCCAAACCACCACCACCAAAGCAGATCGGGTACAAATTGGCAAAAATTGTCTTCAGCGCCAAAGAATGCGTAATTGGAGTCCTCGGGAGAGACAGATCTAGACCTCGAGGTATCTAGACAGACAAAGGTGAATGGAAGATAAACAAGTTAACAAGATATTTATCTGATTATTTCTCGCAATAGTTATATGTGTTCTTATTTTGATCAGGGTCGATATATTAGTATACACCAGCCAAGATACCGGTATTCTGGATAATATACATGTATTTGATAAAATTCATGATAATTCAACCTACTTTTTTTCTCGTGTTGTATATACTGTACATATTATCGGCTTTAGAATCCAACAAAAATGTTATCCTAGTACTCATTTCTACTGAACATAAAACTAACGTTCAGTCTTCAAATATATAAAACACGAGAAAATAGTAGGTTGAGTTATCATGAATTTGGGAATCTCGGCCGCGACTGACCTTAGTCGAAAAAAAAAAATGGGAAGCAACTGTTCCTTCGCCATGCGCTCGGCACTTTGAAGTGAAAGTTGCGGGACTTTCGGATGAGACCTTAAAAAACCGAGGCCCCGTGTCACGACAGGAGTTGGCACAATAAAGATCCCCCACTGCTCAATGACCCTCAATGCTGAGTAAAGGTCAAAATGGTGACGTCTCTATATGAGTGAAAAACTCTCGAATGGGACGTAAAACAACATGCAATCAATCAATCATATAAAAAAATGGACTCTTCCATTATACTCATTTGGGAGTGGAAGCCCAATGCTCACAGAACCTCTAGTTTCATTTGGGTTCAAGGTAGTTACACTTTTGAGCCGTATACGAGTCAGTGGCCCTAACGTTAGAGCTACAGGGTAAGCCTAGATGGATAATGCAGTGTAGGTAGGTGCCGGCGATATGCACAGGACGACAATATGTACCGTCACAGCTATATTGTGCTTCTCATCTGACATAAACATCAAAATGCTGGTAACATTTTCATATTAAACTTGAGGGGTGGATCTCCCAAACTAGAGATGGCACCATGACTACCATCACCATTTTTTCATAGAAGTGGTATAGATATTTAACCTACCTTGTTCTTACATGGTTGAAACCTCTCAACCAAAATACAACTAAAGAAAAAAAGTGATTAATATTCATATTTTATCAATAAGATGAAATATAAATTGAATATAAAATTTGGCTACTAACAGCGAAAAAACATCCAACAAAACCGGGTAAGTGATGGAAAATGAACTGTGACAGGGAGTCACCATACCAATACAACAACATACCACTCCAAGTCAACTGTGGAAATAACAACCAACACTACAATATCAACTAACTTCTTACAAAATATCTCTTTCTCTTCTTATTTTTGAAATATATTTTGCAAAAGATACGGGTTTAAGAAGCCCATTATATTTCTTACAATATAAACTACTGAGAATTTCAAATGGACACAAGTTTTCTAAAAACTTCATACACTGTGACATAAATAATCATTACAAATACATTCAATCACTACCAAATTTTAATAATTTCATGAATCAATTAACAATGGCACATTAATTATTGCACAAACAACACTTTTATAAACATTATTGCAGCATAAAATTACAAATTTTACTAGGTATTTATATAATGGAATGGATTATAAACGCCTCTCCTTTCATAAGTCCATATTTAATACTCACAAGTCATTAGTTAGCATTCACAAGTCAGTAGTTCTAGTACTCACAAGTCAGTAGTTAAAAGTACTCACAAGTAGTTAAAAGTACTCACAAGTCAGTAGTTATTATTACTCACAAGTAAGCAGTTAAAAGTACTCACAAGTAAGTAGTTATTAGTACTAACAAGTAAGTAGTTAAAAGAACTCACAAGTCAGTAGTCAAAAGTATTTACAAGTAAGTAGTTAAAAGTACCCACAAGTAAGTAATTAAAAGTACTCACAAGTCAGTAATTAAAAGTACTCACAAGTAATTAGTTATAGTACTCACAAGTCAGTAGTCAGTGCTCACGAGTCAGTAGTTTGTACTCTCAAGTCTTTGTTTGGACATAAATATTCTGCTATTTTATGTAAATTACTTGTTCTATTATTTTCTCTCAAAATGGAATAATGGATACCACCCCCTCTCTCATTTTAAATGAATTTTACAATAGTGAGTGTGTATATAAAAAGTGCAGACATGTTTTGATTTCTTGCAAAATAATGTTGCATACATGTATAACTAGAAGAGGACAAACTTGATGTGGATTATAGATAAATGTTCTATTGTGTGAAGAATATATCTAAATTCTCTACAAGAGTCAAGAATTAAAAATAAATTACTGTACAAATAATAAAGTCCTTAGGAATAATCACATCCCTTCAAAAAACAGAATGCAGAAGTCTACAGCTTTGTAGCATCAGTGCACACAGGACAACACAATAAGAATAGCATGTAAATTTTCATAAAATACAGTCACTTCCATCATTTTCTGAATTTCATTATTTAAGACTGATTTATTTTAAATCACATTTTATTTTTACACTTTTTACTTACATGTATATTTAAAAGGTGAGAGCATCTTACACAAGAGTTCTCATCAACAATAAAAAGTAACTCCTACAACTTGTATAGATAGGGTGTTATACCATGCTTCTTCATATAATCTTTGATGTTATGTGTGTGTGTCATAGACTATTTGGCTGGGATGCTATTCCATTCACAGATTAGTACTTAGGCAAAGTCAGTCAGTGAAAGATGCTGACCATGTAGATAAACCACAAAGAATTTTAAAACACATAAAGTTGTGGAGTTTCCATGTAGTTATTTTTCACAAGCCAATCTTACCCTTACATCATATAACCACTGTGAAAATCTCACCCTTCCATCACACTACTGTAAAGTAAAGCTTATCTCTACAGCACTGTACAAATCTAATGTAACCAAACCTTAATGGCAAGTCTTTATATCCTATAGAAAATTTTCAAAAAAAAAACCCACGTCTTTTTCTCATAAGAAAAAATGATTCTATGTACAATGAGGGCAAGACTAGGCAAACATATTCCTGTACGTGGTATGTAAGTGTTTGATTTTGCTCAATGATAGGTTAACGTTTCTTAACAAAAACATTTAAACTATTAGCACTAAACTGAAAGCATTAGTGATGATAAAGTTGTATATAATGGAGCATCAAAAATCTCGAGAGCTTTTTCCTCTGTGAATCTTGCATATAACTGAAGGATGCAGATCCTTAACTGCTTCCTCTTAAGCTTACTCTAAAACTGTAAAAATCTGTTACGAAAATATTGTCCTTTAGTGAAACTTCCAGATCTATGGTAGTTTATCATAGCGCCACAATACACTTTACTTCAAAAACAAAGTTCTGCCAAAGTAAAAATGATACCACTGATTGTTTGCAACAGGCACAAGAGCAAAAATTTCTATGAGCCACATTGATCAAAACATCTCACAACTGGAATTGCAGACCTAAGCATGACATGCCTTTAAAATGAAATACATGTGGAGTTCACTTCACTTAGAATCAAACAACAATCATAAACAAATTTTAGTGTTGCAAACATAAATATTAAAAAAAATTTACTGGTGCAAACATAAATATTAAAAAAAATCAAGGTTAGTTTCTTCCAGTTAAAACTAGAGCTACCCTGTACCCTGAAATTATGGGAGAGGTGGAATTTCTCTTATAACATTATTTGTTACAGATTGCTGTAAAGTATATAATGAAAAACATAAGTATTTTCTTGATTTAACATTTTTTTAATAAGGATACTGCAATACTCTTACATCTTTTGGGATTTTTTACTTTAAAAGTTAAAAGACATAGTTTTTTTTAAATTTCACTTAAATTAAAGGTCACATGAAATAGGTTGCGACACACCTGCTACTTAGATGCATATATTGGCCAAGTTTGATGATTCTAGGTCTAATACTTTTCTAGTTATGAGCCGGACAGGATTTTTCCATATTTGGCTATAGTGTCTTAATTAAAGGTCAGAGCAACCTACTTTTAATACGCGACACACCTTCTACCCAAGATGTATCAGCTGACAAAGTTTGATAATTCTAGGCCTAATAGTATTAAAGTTTTGAGCCTGACATGAAAAAGCTTACAGACGGACGGACGGACATGAACGCTATAACATAATACGTCCCGTCTCAAGACGGGCTTATAAAAAGAAACCCTCTTGATCAACATTTTTCTTGTAAATTCACGTTTCCGTGATTGGTATCTCCTAGTCATTTCACAATGTCAAGTACTTGTAAAAATATGGAATCTACAGTAGCTTCGGAAAAAAAAAAAGAAATTCATTTATGGGGGATATAATGAAACAGATTTCAACAGTTGTAAAAAAAAAAATGATGTTCTTAAAATTTCCCTGCAACAATGCAAAAAATTAAAACTTACAAAATAAGACTAGATTTCATGAAAGATCATATATGATGATAACGTGCAAATGCTAAAATAGTACAGTGACTTCTCCATCTGAAATTAGGAAGACTAAGATCAGTTTGTCCTGAGACAACTTTTGTCAGCAAATTCACCACTTTTACAAAGCTACTGCAGTGGCTACATCTCCCAACAAAGACAGTATTTACACTGGGCAAATGCTGATACATGTACTATAAGAATAATGCTTAGGCCTCTCTGCAATAAGCTGAATTAACTATATGTTTTTGAAGGCATGCAGGAAGCTCCAAGAGACCTGTGTTATCTCTGGGATGGCAAGGATTTTCTCTCTTTTATATGGATCTGAAATATAAAATAATATATACATTATACAAGTATTTCCCCAGCAGTATGACTGTGTAGAAAGGTAAAGTAAAATATATGAATGTTTTATTTCACACACATTTTCAATGCTAATAGATGAGAATTACATTCCAGTCATCAATGATCAAGAGCTCAGTAGGAAATATCTATTTTAACATATGTTTTATGGAACTAACTACCAATTAGCAGAGAGAAAGACAGTAATGCTCCATCAGCACTACTGGGGAGGGGCTTACATACCTCACTGACAATCATCCAGTTTTCGTTGTTTGCCTCCACTAAAACTTTAATGTACTGAATTTTTCCAATGTCTTCACTAAACTTGATGTGAGCTAGTCCATCTTTAAATGTAGACACATTATAAAACCCTGTACCAGTTACAGTAAATCCTGCCTCCAGTAACACATCAGAAGGAGTGGTGGACTCCTCAGGTTTGACAAGTATGGATCCATTCAGCAAAATATCAGCCTTGTGGTCAGGGTTTCCAGTCCGGAACAAAATTCTGGGGGGAAAAAGATTAATGACTTAGTCCATGTACTAATCTTGAAACAGGCATTAACCACTGATAACTTCAGAGTATTCAACCCACTAAAACTGGCAACTTACCAGGATCCTTAACCTATCTTATACTTTGATCCATATGATACACAGCTTATAAGACTCCTTGCCTGCTTTTTATCTGATAAAAGCTGACCCTCAGCAAATACCTACTAGACTTGGGGGATTTCATGTAGCAGTATATGGAGAAAATGCAAAATATATACAATGTGTACAAAGTTTGGTGGTTTAAGAAGTTTACACATATTTGGCAATTAGGAAGTTGATTCACCATATAAATCATTTGTTGTTTAGCTGCCTATCCTCTGATAATCTCTACTATGTAATAGGTTTAGTATATTAATCTACATAGGACTCACTGAAAACGGGGGGGGGGGGGGGGGGGGGGGGGGGGTCCCACACACTCATCTTGTACAATATACATGCCTAATGCTAGACAGAAGGAAAAGATTTAACTTTCATGTACATGTGTGAGTATATGTGATTTTTCATGGGCAAATGAAAACAAGGTCTCTAGACAAGCACTAGTGAGATAAAAAAAATTCTTCCAATAGTTAGTTATCTCCTTAAATGTCAATTTACAACCTTCCAACCCCCTCCCCTTACATAAACAAAGTATCATGATTTAATGAATACTTACTCCTCTATATTAACAGGAGGTTGTAGCTTTATCTGAATGAAATCACCCTTGGCAGGTGTTGGGGCCCAGAAAACATCCTCTCCGATGTAGGCTTTCCTCAGTGTAAACTTCTGATAGGCTTTCAGTGTTGTGCTGAGCTCAGCTCCAGGATTAACGTGGGCCCTGTGTAACATCAGCTTTCCAAAATCTTTCTCCTATAGATTAGAAAATAAGTTTATTCTTGCTACATTTGTTATCCATTCACTATTCATCTTTAAATCATAACAGTTTCTAAGACTCTATTATTCACTAATAGTTGAAAGCAAGTCTAACAAATGAATAAGTTTTGACTATGTATGAGCAAAAAAAAAAACAACAAACAAACAAAAATATAAAGTAAAAAAAAATAAATGAGAACTACAAAATTACAACCCCCCCCCCCCCCCCCCCCCCCCCAAAAAAAACAAGAGTTTCCAAGTTACAGAACATTATACTCACTTTTAATTTCTGGACTTTTCCTTTGAGTGAGGAATGTGTCCCTACGTGCTGGAAGAGAGAAGGCTTATATCTCCGCCGCATTTCTCCTTTCATTCGACTGCAATGTTTCTAAATTTAAAACATTTCAAATTAGCAAAAAGATAACACAGTAAACACAACAGATTGTCTATGTCTATAATGAAGATCTTTTTCGAATGACTTACATGGTCTTTTTCTGGGTTACAGACTTTAACAGCTAGGAAATAATCTAACAACCAATCAATTGGCTTGTCCTGGTAAAACATCAGGAAAAATTCTACCACCACTGGCAAATCTTTGGATTTGAACATTTTACCTATGTAACAAAATAGTAATACATTACTTGATTTAATCTAATGGGTTCAGGAATATAATTATAAATTCATACAAGAATTTCAAACCCAGCTTACTCGGGAAGATTACCTATAAAACCTAATGTTGAAAACTCTAACAATATCCAGGTAGTGGAGCTCTGCTGTTCAGCAAAAGTTTTCATGATGGTGAAGTAGCCTGGCTTAGCTATAACATCATCTTCCAACTACACCATACATGTAAAGATATATAAATATGAGTTAAAGCCAACAAGAAACTTGGATCATGTAATCCTGATAATAATGCAATAACAAATAATTCATGCATATGAATGTTCAAATCAATCTAATATCATGCAAATCCATAAACACAACATTCAACATAAAATAAAATGTACTAAAGCAGTCCTAATGGGACTGATACCCCCTCAGTTATGTACGATGGAAACTGCTAAATTTTATTCAAACCAAATGTGCACCAAACCACTATCGAGCAACACATCCAACATGTATCATATGTGCATAATGGTGATTTTAAACTTTCTTAATATATGCTAAAACAGATCCAAATGCAGTACTTATCTAAAGTCTCTCATGCATAAAATCTACATCAAACACAGCATAGATGCATGCATGAGACAAAGCTTCCAAGGATTTACCATATGTTCAAGTTGGATTATGCTAAAATTGGGGGGAGTTGGTCGAGCATAAAATGTAGCTCAAAGGCAGCATGTGAAGCATATTTTACATCAGATATACCAGTGTACCAGGAGAGATCCAAGCACTGTATTTGACAGTCTCTGAAGCATAAAATTTAGATCATATGCAGCATCCATAGCATGCATCAAACTATCTACTGGGTATTCACAGATGCATCATACCTTTGAACTTGGTTTAAATATTTTTAGAGATAAGCCAGGAACTAATCTAAACACTGAACTGTCACTAGAGCATGAAATGTACAAAAGGGGCAGCATTTGAAGCATGTATCAACCTAAATATCCATAAACATTGAACTGTCCCTAGTGCATGAAATAAACAAAAGGGGCAGCATTTGAAGCATGCATCAACCTAAGTATCCATAAACATTGAACTGTCCCTAGTGCATGAAATGTACAAAATGAGCAGCATTTGAAGCAAGTATCAACCTAAGTATCCATAAATGCAGCATACTTGCAACCTTGGTTCAGAAGCCAGAAACTGACTAAAATCCAGATGGACAGACACGGTGATTCCAAAATAACCCCCACTCACCCAATATCACCATTTAAAAAACTTATTTGATAACAGGTATCTCTCTCTTTCTCATTTGACATATTTCAAATAAATTCTTTATGATTATTGAATCATTTTCAGTATTGTTCATATACAAAACAACTTACATGTGTATTACATTTTTTTTAAAATTATAAATAAAAAGAAAGAAAGAAAATAAATTTTAATTATTTAAAAACACTGCAGCTATTGGTTTGACTTTTTTGCACTGTAAAACTGATAATACATGATTAAGTTCTTTAAAAATCACTATTTTACTGACTTTCTACATAAGCCAAGTTACTGATTTTTACTTGTTTCTGAATAAAATAGCTGTGATTATGGCTAAACACAAAGCTAAAATATCAAAACAACAACATTAATTTCAAACAAGTTACAAAGTGTTTCGGATGTGTGGTGGGCAAGTTTACACACAAATGTGATACATGTATTGCTGTGACAAATAAATGTTAATCAATAACAACACGAACAGCACTCTTTCTCAGATCAAATAAATACCAATCATTAGTTTTACACAAATATATATATGCAGTCTATCACTACATTTTGCATGCATGTATGTTAGTACAATGTATACAGTAAGATCTCCCCTGTTATGTCACTGAATATGAATTTTATTTACCAAATTCTTTGTTAAGAAGACTTTGGCTGTAAGAAACAGAACTTGGTAACACTCATTATCCAATGACAACAGTTGGGATCCTATTTTTATCACATGTTTATACTAAGTTTCCCATTGTTAAAATTCTGCCCCACCACTAGTGTATCAAGATCTGCCTATACACCAATGCCATAACTAACAATGATTAATAAGGCATGCATAAGGCGCCAGGGTATTTCATGAAATCAATAAAATGATAATTTCATCCTCTGACATGGAAATCCCACAGTTTGTGACATTTGTCTACCATGATGTTCAATATGTTTATATAATTTATGAACTTCATAGACACTATACTATATACAATGAAAGTGATTTGGCAATTTAACCCATCATATTTGTCTGAGGAAGGGTAAATTCTCACATTTTGAATTTTAATAAATGCATCAAGGTTTTATCCTACTGACTGAAATAGTAAACATGTGATAAATGTATGTAATTTATATTAAAAGAATAACTCAATTAGAAAAATGAATATGAAAGAAAAAAGTAAAGAGAAACTTGTGTGGCACATTTACCAAAACTCTTCGATCTGAAACATTAATAAACATTCCCGAAAATAGCTAAAAGTATTCCAACAAAATGCAAATATATTTATACACATATCATTCCAGTGTCTTGTTAACACCATCAGCAATGATAACAACACGTACATAATTCATCTATAATAGGCTTCCTGACAGGGTGCCGTAATATTGGAATAGACCATCTTTATTGAAAAGTGCTTTAATTAACTTAGTTTAGTTTACTACATCATTACAGTAATATGAAATCAAAGATCAAGACCCTCAGAAGTGTTCAAGCTTTGAATAGTTCCATGCTTTGTTTTTCAAATGGCTGATGTATTAGATTTTCTCGATCAGTAATTGTGAAATGGAATAAAGAAAGACACTTGTAGGAATGAAATACTAAAATGACAAATGCTTGGTCCAAATATTTACCTGTACATAATAAATGGCTTTACTCCTTGCATACATCATAAGGAAGGAAAAATCCAGGTTCTGTTTGGTCCGCCATCTGTTACAAAAGAGATGTGTGAAAAGTTAACAACATACACAAAAGTCACCTTACCCATATATATTTTCTAACAGGCTTCATATTTAATATAATATAAACATGACAATGAATTCAGAACAAGCTTTGAGTTACCAGAAACAATATTTATTTTCTCAGTCATTGCTTGTACAATTTTTGATTTGATTACAATTGCCCACTTAGTATACATGGACAAAATATTCAGTTTTGAATAAAGCTGAATCACTAGCTATAATATTACACTTATGTATGTTAACTGGATTTATGGCATTGATCACTGTTCGTTATCTTCACATTTTTTACATTAATGCCATTCAAAATGGCAATTTCACCTTTTTTTTTGGTTTGAATCTGCACAAAATGCAAGCTCTCCAAAATGAATAATAGATTATTGATGATTAATACAAACAAATAACAGAAATATTGATGATACTGTTACTTAACATGTATCAAGGCATTAATTCTCCATTAACCTTTAACTTCTGTGTTTCATTCTGTTCTTGACCTGACATGAAGCCTTCATTAAGATATGAAGCCCCAAAAGTCAGGCCCAATGTATAAAGTTGAAAATTGACAAATAACAAGTCTCTGACAAGACCATAGCTCTGCTGGTTATTCTGATATCATGAAAGAGAAAAGCAGCACCTGGAAATTAGAATAACAATAAATATTCAGCAAGGCAGCAAATGGCATCAATTAGGATGTATATTATCACTTGTGTTATGCAGGCACTCACCCACACACTCACAAGAGCATAACTATATCCCTCCAACTTTGTTGCAAGGGGAAAATAAATAAATTTATCATAGTAAAGTCAACTTGTGTACCAGATCATATTGAAATCAGACCAAAACTGTAGGAGGAGTAGCATTTTGAAAAATTGTTCATGGACAGACAGACAGACAGATGACAGACTCCTTACTAATACATAAGCTCTTCTGGTCTCTGACCAGTAAAGCTAAAAATCAAATGGATCAAAACTACATGTTCTTGATTTTCTGGGCATGAAAATTAATTGCATTGTACAGAGGGTAGGTTTGAATTAAAACAGATTTTGATGATTGATTCTGACCACTTACTTAACCCTTTCTTTAGTATCACCATATGTCTGTTTGATATTGTTAAAGTCTGGATAAAACTCAGCAGGGGGAGCTATAACTTCTAGAAGACCACTCTGTAACTCCTCTGGAAATCTGCAATGTACATATCATACAAAATACTGTAAAAGCAGAAATATTCGTTGGGGATTTAATTTCATTTATTTCGTTGTTAACAATTATCAACGAAATTAAATTCCACACGAAATTTTTATATGACTATATATTGAATAGGGTAACTTTTGAAACAACGAAATTTTATGCCCACGAAACCTTTTTAGATGACAAAAGAACGAAATTTTATCCCCAAGAAAATTTGTGTTTCTACAGTAATACAGACTATTTCTTTTTAAATTATGATAATGAATATATTCACAAGCATTCACAATGGAAGATGGCAATATTTCTATTTTACCTAGTGGACACTTATATTGACAAACAGGACAGATCTCAGTTCTCGTCAAACTTCAAATTTGTCATTTGCACCATAAAATAAAAATATCAGAGAATTTAATTTTCTTCATGAAATTTGGTCCTTTGCAAAATGAAATTCCAGTACATGTATGTATACAGTGCCTTACAAAAATTAGGTAGGATAGAAAATGATTCTCTATTTTTCACTCTTATGCCTTTTAAAAGTCGCATTCTTTCATTCAGAAAACTATATATTATTGGAAAGCTTACAAGTAGGTCTTTTTTAGCCCAATGGTTCTTTCCATGTAAAACTTTGATACTCTATTGTAGCCCCACCATACCCCAACCATACCCCTGGGGGCAGAATTTGAAGAATTCAGAATCTGCACTATGTCAAAAAATCTTATATATGTTTCAGCTTTATGGTTCTTGAGAAGAAGAATTTTTAATGACCCCACCCTATTTTTGGCCTTTTCTTGATTATCTCCCCTTGGAAAGGGACTTGGCCCTTCATTTGAACAATTTTGAATTCCCTTAACCCAAAGATGCTTTGTGCCAACTGTGGTTAAAATTGGCCCAGTGTTTCTTGAGAAGTAAAAAATGTGAAAAGTTTTTAGAAGGATGACAGGTGATCAGAAAAAGCTCACTTGAACTTACAGCTCAGGTGAGCTAAAATAATTTTGTTTTCATACTACGAGGCTGAGGTTTATTCCTGGACATCGTAAAGTATCATCTGACATGTCCTAGCTATCATGTAACTGGCCTATGTCCTTGCCAACTGAATGTTTTGTGAAACAGTTGTCAGACTTACTGTTTTTTCAGACCTTCAGCCACTTCTTTGACATACCGAGGGTCATTAGGCTAAAACCAAAAGAAAGAATATCAGTATATTTCTGTTTGAGTGGGGAAAAAATTAAATGGTTTACAAGAAAACACCTTTATAATGTAAATTTACAGTAATAAAATACCATCAAAACATTAACAGAAATTTATCCTTTAATTTTAAAACTGACTGTTCTCTTTTTATATCATGAGCTTTACAAATACAAAATCAGGTAATTTAAAACCATTGTTTATATCTTATAACAATCTTTTATCTCTTGTTCAAAGTTTCTTTAATCTCAACCAGGAAGTCCTTTATCAGCAAACAGAGATGAACACACCTCGGCCACAAAGACTATGATCAAGCACTCCTTCCTTTCCTCAGGTGACATGCCTTGAACCAATGATTTAACAGTTTGTTGTAGGTAGCTGCTCTTATCACGACGAATTGTTGGAATTCCAATCACAATAGATACTGTAAAATAGCATTAAAATGTCAAGAACAATCTTACAATGATATAAAATCTGCAATTCTTTTACTCAACTGCTTTCAAATATACATAACAAATGATAGGAATGATTTCCAGTGTTAATTTTGTTTGTAGTAACCATTTGCTCATGCAATGCAGTACATCTATCTATTACATGAAAAGGACATAGTGATCATATCTTCTTAAATAAGTTATTATCATATTTATAAGTCAAAGCTTCTGTTCTCTGAAGTGTCCTAGGCCTGTACATGTAATTGTTCCCTGACTAGGGTTTGCCATGCCCCCACAAGATTTGCAATTTTTATTTATTAATATTGAACATTTCTATATACAAATTAAAAACCCATACATATTTTGTTTGGCAACCAAATTAATTTCACTAATATTATCAACATAACATACATGTAGCAAATAAATTAAGTTATAACCAGAAGTCTCTGATGAGACCATAGCTCTACTGGTTTGTACTTAGAACAATAGCATCTGGACCTGAAACACATTTCACCTCTTATCAATTTGTATCTTTGTATGAAGTTTGAAGAAAAGATCTTGAATATTTTTTTAAAACTAAGATAAAGAATAGTGATTAAAGTCATTAGGCAGGTCAAGGTCAGAAAATTATGACTTGATTGAATACCACTCATCAATTTGTATCATTCTACGAAGTTTGATGAAAAATATCTTTTATATTAAATGCAAAAGGAGGAAAACTGGGGTCAAGGTAAGAAATTTATGACACAGATTAAAAGTTTTACCAGTATGTATCAGAGTGAAATTTTTGATAAAAATATTAAAAAGTTACTTTGAAACTGAGCAAAACACAAAATAGGAAGTCAGAGGAAAGGTCAAGGTAAAAAATTATGCCACAGTTGAATACTTCTCAACAATATGTATACAGTGGCGCCTCGTTTATCCGGACGCCTCTGTCCCCAACGAAATCGTCCGGATAAATGAATCGTCCGGATAAATGAATCACTTCTCAAAAAACACTCTCCAAGCATGTGTATATGCACATTCTTGTATCAAATTTGACGGCAAAGAAAAGAAACTTTAATATTTTTGTGATTTGTTTTTATTTTATAGTTTTAAAAGGAGTAATTAATTAAAGAAGAAATATATTAAAATGTCATTTACACAATAAGAAATGGATAATAGGCAATTTTATGCTGAGACCTCCGTTTTAAACAAAGTGAATTTTATTCGCCTTCTCATTGGCATGTGACTTCATGGGCTGATCAAATTTTTTACCTGCTGTTGTTTTATTTCGTCATATATTATAATCATTGAAGCTCATGTGATATGACAAAACTGTTCAGCATCATCATTGAAAATGTTCAAATATAAATTAACCCTGTATATTTCCCGTATTTTCATTACATGGGTTACTATAAAATTAACTGAACACTGCAAGCAAACTCAGGCATGTGCAATCAGTGAAAGTATTGAAGACATCCAACGTAAACAAAGCCATCTTCATGATTATCAATATTTTTTCTGCAGACGCTAAGTTTGAATTTCGATCATTACAAAATACCTTGAAAAACGTAATCAACTTCTATACCTAACGCCAGTTTAATATTATTTTTCTAAAGTAATATACGTTTATAGACGGTAGTATATTGAATAGAAAGATATTTCTTTAATTATGTACCATTCTAAACTATCTTGTGGGAAAAAAGTGTTTTTAATGCATTTACGTTTTTAGAAATGGAAAATCGTATTTTAAACTAACACAATCAACATGATAAAGAGCATTACGAAATCGCTCATAATTCATTGTTCATTTTATTTACAACTCTTCAAAATTCTCATAAATTAACTGATGAATATACGGTTAACAATATGATTTTAAACGGATTTTTATTTAATTAATTCACAGTGTAAGCTAAATTCTTCGAGCTTCATAATAAAGGTTGATTTAATTGGGATAAACACACGCTAATTATAGACGCTATTGTTTGTAGGTCACACATAATTGCTTTCAATCCGACTGCATGGCCAATGTTTTTACAACAAATACCACTAGTGGTGATAAGTGTGAAAAAGTTTTTTTGAAAAATTACCGTCCGGATAAACGAGTCATTTTTCAATGAAGTATTACGTTTTGTAGTAGAAATCGACCGTCCGGATACGGAACGCGAATTTCCAGATAAATGAGACAAAATAACGTGGGAAAAATCGGTTCCCAAAAAAAATCGTCCGGATGGTGAAGCGTCCGGATAAATGGCGTCCGGATAAACGCGGCGCCACTGTAGTATGAATTTTGCTTAATATATTTTGAACAGTTTCTTTTAAACTGAGATAAACACAAAATAAGACAGATGGACTGACAGCTAGACAGAAGGATGGACATGACAAACACTATGTGCCTCAGCCATATGCATGTCAAGGCATAAATGAAAACACATTGTCAAATACAGCATTGTCAACTGTGCACTGGGCCTAAGCAGTATAACTGTGTTTCTTAGTTTAGTATACTTGGTGTTAGTTGTTTACCAGGATTTAATGAAAACAGACCAAAATTGTAGGAGGAGCAACATTATTTACAAGAGGCCCATGGACTTTGAAAATCATCCAAGTATAATCATGAGTTTCTCAAGTAATGGCCACATTGGCCCAACCTGGAACTGATCTGTCGACTCATGTGAGAAAAAAAAATTATGTCAGTGAAAACTCTGTTATCATTATCATATTCATACAGCTTGTTTCCTAGAAGTTGAGGAGTAATGAAGATAAGGTACACTGTTTATTATGTATGACCAACTTTGCCTCACCCTGGGGCCTGATCCCTAACTTGGGGGACATGAATATTATAATTTCTACAGAAGGCTTAGTTGTTAATTATAATCATACAAATGATTTGCCTGCTACTTGTCCATGAGCAAGGAGATGATTTTCAAAGATGTAATGTATTTTCAACATAAGACTAACTTAACCCAACCCTGGGCCCCACTGGATAATTTGGTCTGTAAATTTCTGTTTAATATTTACCACCAAATCTGTTTTGTGACAGCTGAAAGCTCGGTCTGAGACTTTGAGGCTTGCCAATGATGTGGGGGAGATACGTAAACAGACTGGGAAGCTGCAATGAATTCTCAGATGAAATGTTGCTCATGTTGCTTAGCTGTAAAGCCAGATCGGTTTGAAACATGCCTGCAATAGACCTACAAAATAAACAAAAACATTAGAGTAGCAGCAAATACTGTAAACATGGAATATAATTATAGAGGATATTCAATGTATTGTAGTTGGATATGAAATTAATTTCACAAGTGGGACAGGATTTTTTTTTTATTTTCACGAGAGCGAACCACGTGTTCAGGCTATAAGCAATCTTAAGAATGAGCTTCCAATGTGCCTTCCTGATAATGAATGGATAGAAATATACGGCAGAAATATTACTTTGTCTAAGTGACCTTGATAAAAGTCAATGCACAACTTCAGATCAAGCCATCTTTTCTTTACTATGGGCTTCTAATGTTTGTTCTTTACTAAGATAGAAAGTGACCTTGAGCTTCCAAATGGCATTTTTTAAGATCATAATAAACTCCTAGGTCATGAACAATCCATGTGTCAAGTATGGGCTGTCAATTTTTTTTTGGATACAAACTTATAAAGTGGGTAAGAATACAAGTTTTTCTACAAGTGACCTTAAACTTGCTAAAGGTAAAAGGTATAAAATATGTCATGACATATCCTTTGGTCATATGCAATCTTTGATGGATTAACAAGCATCCAATGCTTCTCTTTTAAAAAGTTATGGACCAGTCACAAATTTTACACATTTTCTGCAACAAGATGTGGCCAGGATAAGAATTATACATTTTTCTGCCAGTGACCTTGAACTTGTAACTGACTTAGGGTCAAGGTAAAAACATCTCTTCAGGTCATTTGTAATCTTTATGTATAAAGTTATGGACCAGACATAAAATATACAGGAATATTACAACTTTTTTCTGCATTGACCTTGAACTTGCCCTTATCACCCTCATTATTTATAACACACTATTCATCTTCCAAACGTCCTGTATATCATAGAACCAAATGCAGAGTGACCTAGAACATAAGCTACTTTAACTTCTGTTCTGGACTTTGTTTGTATCAAGAATCAAGTGTATCATGTTATGCATATGATGTCTTTGCAAATTTATTCAATAGTACTTATTTCAATAGTATTCCATACAAGTATGAGGCATAGCAATGGATTTTACAGTTGTGGTAGTATACAACTGAAATAAGCATTTGCCAACTTGTCATGATTCCATAGTTACCTGTTTGTTTGATTAGTTGCATGGATCACACCCTTTAAGATTTGAAGAAAATGACTGCGGAGTGTTTTTAAATCTGCCTCTCTCCTCTGGTTAACATGTTCTGCTAACTGTAATCTGTCTTGTATATCTTCCAGTCTACTAGAATCAGTCCTAGGGAATGGTACATCTATCAAAGTATCAAATTATATCTTTGAGCATGGCATCCTGGGTAAATTCTGGGAAAGGTCCCAACTCACACATAGAGACAACATACAAGCATGCATACAACATACTGCAACAATTATATAACGGCATTGATAAATCCAGTTAAATGATTACAAATTCAATTCAACACTCAAACACAATAAATTGTAATTTCTTAATAATAAAAAGCAGCTACAAATGTCATTAATTTTAAAATTTATCAATTGAAATATTCATAAATTATGACCACTACTAGCTAGGGAATCAAAATTAAATATTGTGGTAGACGATATTGGGATTTCATATCAGTAGTGATTAAAACCATTTTTTTTTTTTTTATTAGGCAAGGCCATCTTGAAAATATTTTCTGTTTGCCCTCTCCCAACTGTTGACTAAACATGGCTTGAAACAAAACTTTTTTTTTTTAAACCTCTAGGAAACGATTTTTTTTTATTCCGTAATTTTCACATCCTGTCAACAACTATTTTTATTTTATTAACACCATGACCTTCAATTTCAATAAAATTTGAAAATCTAGCACTGATGTTGAATTTTTCTTATACCTACCTACCGACTCAATTGTTTTATCCTGAGTTGGAAGAGGGCAAACATTTTTTTGAAGGTAGCCCATTGGATAATATTTTGTTTTTCTTAAGAAATAGCAACAGTATGTCCAGTTCAACCATTCACGAGAAGAAAATAAAAACATTTGACCTAAACAGACAGCTTACATGCACTATTAAAGAGATATAGAGAGAGACTTACTTTGTTTAGTTACAAGTGAGATCCAAAACAGAGGAATGATGCAAACAATCAGAATCAAGACCAGAACATTCTTGGGCTTTGCTCTCATTGGAATTCTCATCCACTTAATTCTGTGTTACATGGCACTAAGATTGACACATTCTTCTGACCTGAAATGAGCATATAATTTTTTTTACCACAATATAACATTAAATCATGAATTATTTTATATAGTTTATATATAGTTTTTATATATAGTTTTTGCCCTGTCTGTCTATCTGTCTTTCTGTTTGTCCGCAAAAACTTTAACATTGCCCATAACTTTTGATTGGTTGGAGCTATGGCTTTCATATTTCACATGTGTATTCCTTATGACAAGACCATATTTGACCTTTTGACCTTGACCTTGGATTTTGACCCAGTTTTGCAAAATTTTTCCAAACTTTAACCTTGGCCATAACTTTTGAACAATTGATGCTAGGGCTTTCATATTTCACATGTGTAATCCTTGTGAAAAGACCTTCCTTTGGATACCAACAATTCTGACCCTTTGACCTTGACCTTGCAGTTTGACTTACTTTTGAAAAACTTTAACATTGGCCATAAATTTTGAATGGCTGGTGCTAGGGCTTTCATACTTCACATATGTAATCCTTGTGACAAGACCTTCCTTTGGATACCAACAACTTTGACCCTTTGACCTTGACTTTGGAGTTTGAACAGAACCAACCCGACCCGAAAAATTTTGGAACCGTGACAGCCCTAGCCATAACTTCACATTTGTAATCCCTGTGACAAGACCTTTCTTTGGATACCAACAACTTTGACCCTTTGACTTTGACCTTGGAGTTTGACCTACTTTTGAAAAACTTTAACATTGGCCATAACTTTTGAATGGCTGGTGCTAGGGCTTTCATGCTTCACATATGTAATCCTTGTGACAAAACCTTCTTTTGGATACCAACAACTTTGACTTTGACCTTGGACTTTGACCTACTTTTGGAAAACTTAAGCCTTGGACACAACTTTTGAAAAGTTGTTGCTAGGGCTTTCATATTTAATATGTTTTTTCCTTGTGACAAAACCTTCCTTTGGATACCAACAATTGTAATCCATTGACCTTGACCTTGGAGTTTGACCTACTTTTGAAAAACTTTATGCTTGGTCATAACTTTTGAACGATTAGTTCTTCAGCTTTCATATTTCACCTGTATATTTCTTGTGAGAAGGCCTTTCCTTAGGCACCATTAATTTTGACCATTTGCCCTGGACATTGATGTTTGACCTACTTTTGAAAAACTTTAACCTTTTCCATATCTATTCAATGGTTGCTACTAGGGCTTTCATATTTCACAGGTATATTCCTCAAGACAAGACTTTACTTTGGGTACCAACATATTTGATTTGCATTTGAGAAAGTTTAACCTTTGCTTTAAGTTGCCATACGGGGGCATCAGTGTTTCACAAACACATCTTGTTTAATACTGTAACATGTATGGATTGTTGTCAATATGAAATAGAAGTCTCTGACAAGGTTGTTGGTTTACTGGTTTGTACTTTTAACAAAGGAAGAGATAAGTATTGGACTTGTAACCATGGCAACACCAATAACTAGAATTATGTTTCGAAGTTTAAACTCTGTGGCACGTTTTAATAAAATTGAACTAAACATGTAGAAGAAGCCTCTCTCAATAAATTCACAAAAATATCTACGTTTAGGACTATGGCAACACCGTTCATTGAAATATAAAAGAAATTAATAAAAATATGCATTTTAGTGTTGTCTACTTGTGTACCAAGTTGTACTGAAATTTAATCAAAACTGTTGGAGGAGGAGCATTTTGAAAAAAATTCACAGAAATTTCTATTTTTAGTGACTGTGGGGCAACACTGTTCAGCAAAGTAAGGTATACATCTATTTGTTGACAATATTTCAAATGGTACTTTTACAATGTACAGTTTTGGTCCAATTTCATAATACTTAGTACACAAGTAGACTACAATAAGATACATAATTCTGTATATGGTTTTTGATAGAAATCTTAACCATGCACTTAGTTTGTCTGCTAAACAGCCAGATGCAGAGAAGTTTTCAAGATGCATTTTACTACAAAAGGATCAATAGAGTCCCTTCCTAATAACTGAACTCCTGAAAAGGGGCCATGAATTTCACAATTTTGGAAGAGGCACCCTAGCTCATCATAACTATGCAGTCCACTTAGTTTGTCTGCTAAATCTACAAGGGGAGAGAAGATTTTATTTAAAGAATTAATTTATGCATTTTCACTATAATTATGATCAATACAGCTCTACTCTAACACCAGAGCCCCTGATCCTGTGACCATGAATTTCATAATTTTTGTAAAGGGCTCAATGCATATATCATGCTAACAGCTTGACTGCTTGATGCCCAGGAGTAAAGAAGATTTTTGAAGAATGCATTAATTTTGAAGGTTTTGGTCCCACCCCTCATTCTCCTGGGGGCAGAGATCATGAAATTCATAATTTTTGTTCCCCTTTTCCCATAGATGCTACATACCAAAACTGATTGACTGATCAGTGATTCAAGAGGCTTAAAATTGTTTACAATCATCACAAGAAGGATGATGGACAATGATGGCAGGAAACAGCAATAGATCTGACCTGAGTGAAACGGGTGACCTAATACAAGATTTTCCCATTTTTCAGATTTTAAATGGCGTCTTTTTTCTTTTTTTTTTTCATAAAATGGCTTTATTACACATACATGTATGTTCACTACATAACTCCAGTCATGGAATGAAGATTTTATTTAGATTTCAATTTTGAAGTACTAATGTGACAGAGAACAAAGAATTTAACTTCCAGAAATTTCAATTGGAATCCCAATAACATCAGTGTGGACAATACCCTGAACAAATAATTTTATTAGTCTAAGCCTATACTTAACTGTCAATGTATCTGTGAGAGAATGCTATAGACACATGCTTTACCATGCAGCCACCTTAACCCATGGAAAAGTGAACTGCCTATATAGGCAGTTATTAGGCAGTTCTTTAGCAGTTTTGCAAATTTTAAGCAGTTTTCAAACAGTTTCAGGCAGTATGGCTTTTTCTGTTCTTTTGTGACTGCTAGTGCCTTTGGAGTAAACAGTTTTCCTTAGCAGTTTTTAAGCAGTAATCAGTTTCCCTTGCAGTTATATCTTGGTCGCCTATGCTTAAAGAGAAGACAATTTTCCTAAGCAGTTTTGTACACAGTTTATAAACAGTTTCCCTGTACAATTTGATTGGGTTCAAGAGAAATTTTAATGTTGGGCTCAATGATCAACAAATATAAACATCAGGAACCCAACAACAGACTGCCAATTGAAAATTTAATTTTTGGCTGCCATGTTGGACAAATGTTGGACAAAGGGTATAAAGCATCATGAAGAGGGAGCCTGCTGGCCACAAAGCTTTTAAATTAGATTCATTGAAATAATGATGTAGACATTTAACAGTTGTTAAGTACAATATATTAATTAATTTGTGGCCTTGAATAGAGAGATATAAATTACATTATTTATGTCTATATGTTTGAATCATATTATGATGTTTCTCATAATTCCTTTCCGTTTACAGTTTTAGAAGAGGAGTGGGACTTCTTGCATACCCATATTTTTGTGATTCTTTCAAGAGAACAACTTGGATCAATGGATGATCTATTAACCCTTATAGCAATTATAATTACCAAAACAGTGCCGATTGAAATATTATATACTTTTGTGGTACACGGATCAAAAAAACTGACAACTGAAATTGTTCAAAATTGAAACCATACAGCTATTCGAAGATGTGCACCTTAATTATTACAATAGCAGTGCCATAGGACAGATCTACAGAAATGTGTCAATTAATGCACAAATTTAAAGTAAAAATACAGCTGTTGCTAAAGTTCTTTGATGATATAATTGTGATCCATATTATTATTATCTCTTTTATTATTTTTTTTAACTTTTCACTTATGATTGTTTGGATAAAGTAAATACATGTATTTGCTGTACTTTTGACTTTTTCCTTTAGTGTTGAATCTTGTTGAACATTATTTATATGCCCTGGGATATACAAGATTTCTTACTAGTCAGTGAGTATAATTGCATGGTTGAACTTGTGTATGTAAATAAGGTACATGTATTAATTATTAGTTACACTGATTATATTAACAGACACATAAAACAGTGTTTGATACTTTTTAAACATTCATCTTAGCAATATCTAATTGTTTGACTGTGTTATACAATTGTACAAAATACAATAAATTAAATGCAACAAGCATTTCTGATATAGGTAGATCTATTATAATTGCATATTATTTCAGGCTGGATAATGGAAAATGTCCTCCTGTCTAATTAATATTTATGTTGCAAAAGGGAAATAGATAAGCAGTATATATCGGAAACAGTTTACTGGAAGTCCACTAGCAGTTAGCAAAAACTGCCTAAATAACTGCCTATGAACTGCTAAGAAACTGCCTATGAACTGCTAAGAAACTGCCTGTAAACTGCTTGCAAACTGGTTACGAACTGGTAAGGCTAAGAAAACTGCTTATACATGTTATAGATTACAAAAGGTTTGAAAGCAATTTGTTTATCCATTAGCAGTCTAGGGAAGGTTAAGTAACTGCTCCAGAACTGCTAAAAAGTTCAAACTGTTATTAATAAGACTAAGAAACTGCTAAATAACTGCATGCCTTCCACTTTGCCATGGGTTATTACATGTACAATTCATTATCAAATTATATCATTTAAAATGTCACAATAATTGAAACATTCTACAATTTTTTTTCCCTATAATAAATAAATATTGGTAAGGCTAAAGTACAATACTTTTTAATTTATACATGTATTCAAAATGCAGGAGAAAATTTAGAGACATAAAAATGACTTTAATGTAATAGACATGTGTATTGAGAATTCATCACAGTCATGATACCTGTATCCTTAATCAATTTAAGAAAATGCCAGACTCAGCATGCTTGAAACTTACCAGATTTACAAAGCACATGTATATAAACACTAAAATAGTTGTTGTGTGAGGTAAGAAAGGGTATCCAATTTCACTTTATCTAAAGTATATACAGATAGAAGCAATATTGAGTTACATTCAGAGTCTGAGGTTTAGCATGCATTAAGCGTATAATTATCTACTTAACT